GGGGGTAGCGCCGTCCCCTTCGGTCCTGCGTGTCCCCTCCGCCGTGTCCCGTCTCCTCCCCTCCGTCCGTCCCGCGTGTCCCCAGCGGGGCGCCGCGGCGTGCGATCCCGGCCGGAGCCGGCGAGATCGCGGCCCGGCCCCGGCTGGCAGCGGTTCGGGGGCGGGGGGGGGGGGGGGCCCGGGCCCCGCCGTCGGGATGGATCGGACCGGTACCGTGAGGCTGCGGGGCCTCCACGCCTGATACCGGGACGTCTGGGAGCCGTGCAGCGGGACGCCGGTACCGGTACATCTCCAGTCCCACCGGGGGTACCCCCCCCCCCCCCGCCCCGGGCTCTGCTCCCCGCCCGCTCTCGCCGGGTCCCTTCGCTCCGCCGGGGTGCTGTGACCATCCCCGGGGCGCACAGGTTGCGGCCGGAGGCTCTTCCCGCCCTGCGCATCCCCCCCAATTCCCCGTCACGCTCCCCGCAGGGCGCTGGCCATGGAGCCGGGCACCATCGACAACCTGTCCATCCTGTACCAGAGCTCCGACTTCATCGTGGTCAACAAGCACTGGGACATCCGCATCGACAGCAAGATGTGGTACGAGACGCTGACCCTGCAGAGCCAGCTCAAGTACCGCTTCCCCGAGCTGGCCGACCCCGACACCTACTACGGCTTCAGGTGAGCGGCCGGGGACCGAAACGGGTTCTGCCCTGCCGGGGACGCTGCCCGAGCACCCGGGGATGCTCCTCTGCCTCCCGTCTCCTCCCCAGGTTCTGCCACCAGCTCGACTTCTCCACCAGCGGGGCCCTGTGCGTCGCGCTCAACAAAGCGGCGGCGGGAAGCGCCTACAAGTGTTTTAAAGACCGACTGGTGACCAAAGCCTATCTCGCCCTGGTAAGCCCACCCCGCAAGGTCTTGCTTCTGGACGTAGCTTCTGAGTTTGCAAAACTGCAGCTTGGCCTCTGCTGCTTGTCGTCCCGGTGCCGGCGAGGAGCGAGTGCCAGGGCTCGGTTTGCAAACCGGCTTTCTGCCCTGCAGGTCAGGGGCCACGTCAGCCAGAGCCGAATGACGATCCGCTACGCCATAGGGAAGAACACCACCGAGGGCATGACCCACATGATGTGCATCGACGGGACAGAGGGTGAGCGGCTCCTGCACCCTGCCCTGTGCTGCCCGGACCACCCAGGCTGCGCCGAAGGGAGCTGACCCCCACCTCTGGATCTGATTGCAGGTTGTGAAAATCCCAAGCCTTGCCAGTCGGAGCTGATCGTGCTGGAGCATGGGTCCTACAGCGGAGACCCTGTAACCAAAGTGCTGTTGCAGCCGCTGACAGGTTGGAGCTCGGGGCCGGGGCAGTGCGGGTGCGGGGGGCTGCTGAGGATGGACAGACAGGCAGCAGAGGTGCTGCAGCGGGACCTGGGCTTGCAGCCCTGGACCTTGCTTGCAGCACGGTGGCACAGTAAAAAACAAAGCCTAGAAAGGGCTGAGCGGTGCCGAGCGCCGCACTCAGCTCATGGAGGACTCAGGTTCTCAGACTGGGGGGGACAAATGTCATTTGGTGCGTCGTCATCTCACACCGCTGTGCCTTTGAGGAGGGGTTCACGGATAACCTGCGTCCCTGATTCCTCTGCTCCCGCTCTCCCCTTAGGGCGGACTCATCAGCTCCGGGTTCACTGCAGCGCCATCGGCCACCCCATCGTGGGGGACTTCACCTACAGCCACAAGAAGGACAGCAGTCCCTATAGGATGATGCTCCACGCATACTACCTGCGCATCCCCACCGGCAAGGAGCTTATCGAGGTCTGCGCGCCTGACCCCTTTGTCACCGCAATGGACAGCAACTGGGTGCCCCACCACGTCACTCACCGGCTGGATGAAATCATCCAAGAGCTGAAGGACAAGGTGATGCGGAAGGAGGAAGAGGAGGAGGAGGAGAGCCGGGAAGCCGTGCTTGGTGGCAGAGGAGATGAGGCACCGAGCGAAGCCAAGAGCCTGGAGACAGAGGAGCAGCGAGCCCGGTGCGAGCAGTGGTTGGCCGAGTGGGCTTTGGAGTGAGCACAAACCACGTCTCTGCATTTCCAGCCCAATGCTCCATTTTTGTCCCAGCGGGTCCCCACGGAGCCCAGCGCTGACTCCACATCTGCGCTTTCTGTATGCCATGGCTTCCCTCACTTCTGGGGCTGGGATTAGGCAGATTTTAGCAGCGATTAGGATGGGTTTGGTTTTTAACATACACATCATCCATCTGGCCAGCCACTGGATGCCCCTTTCCTAATTCTGGGCCTCAGCAGCAGAGTCAGTGTGTCACCTACCAGCTTAGAGTGACCCCAAAGCTTTACATCCCTGTCCCGGGGCTCAGACACAGCTGGGGCAGCACGGACGATGCCTTTGCCATGAGCGTGATGGACGTATCCGCAAACCCTCAGTGCTCGGATGCTAAAATGCAGCCCAGCAAAGGGAGGGGAGAACATGCCGGGTACAGCTTCGGTGTCCCGTGTCCCCAGTTCCCTTCGCTCCAGCCTGCTGCACTCACTGGCACACGCATTGTGTGGGAGGTGGGAGATCAGGAGGCTGAAATGCAGCCTGGGGGCACCGACAGCCCCCCCAGTCCAGGGGCAGCCCCGGGTGTTTTGCCCGTGGAGCTGTGCTGTGCGATGGGCGCAGGAGAGGTCCCTGCCTGCCACCGAGGACGTGCTGCCTGCCCGTCCCTGCCCACACGCTTTCCTTCTTGCCCCAGCCCACGGGTGGTTTTTTTTTAAAGGTTGTTGAAGGTGAGCGAGTTGATAGGAATGGATTTTAAACTTTTTTCAAATTTCTATGAGAAGAAGCTAGTCTTTTAGCAGTTCTGAAATACGGGTGGTCTCGGAAATGAGTGTATTTTTAGTACGTTTGTGGTCAGAGAGCCAGCAGCCCAAAGCTTTTTTAATAGATCTTATTATACCTTCTATTAGCATTGCCTTTTCCTAGTGCCCACTTTTATCCTGGGTGTGGATGTAACCCCTGCTGAGACAGCTCAGAAAACACAAGCCCCTTTCTGCTTTACCCAAACGAGGGGGAATAAGTTTCATGTTTTGGTCCCACCGCGTGGCTCCTCTGGTTGCTGCGGGGCTGTCGGCACCGGAGGGTGCTGGGGGCAGGTCCTTCGGGTGGGCAGTTTGGGAGGGCTCTGGAGCAGTGAGAGCAGCCAAGGAAATGGTTGAAGCCAAAAGAAAGGCTGAGGACTGATGCGAAGAGTGGGAAGGAGCTCGGCTCTCATGCTGGTGCTGAACTTTGCAAGATACCAAGAAGAGTTTCTCTGGAAATGCTCTTGCTTTGCTGGTCGGTGGTGTGCCGCTTCTCTCTCTCCTTCCCACCCTGCTTGTCCTCTGCAGCCCTTAGAGGACATTTAGGAAACGAAGAGAGCAGGGCAGCTGGAGTGGGCTGGGGAGGGACAGAGCTGGCTGGAGCCCGTTGCATACAGAGCACCGGTCCCCGGGGTATTCGGCACCATCAGCACGTGCCCAGAGTTACTGTCATCCCACAAACCCCGTCCCATTTAAAATGCACCTGACAGTGGTTTCACGCAACTAATATTCCATCCCTGAGGGGGAATAAAACGACACAGCCCTCTCCTCACGGCTGAAAGCACCATGCAGGTCACCAAAACCCTGCGGGGTATCGCATCGCCCAGCCCTTGTGTCCCCGGGTGCCGGTGGGTACCAGCTCACCGTGCCACGGCACGCCGCCGGGCAGGAGGTGGCTGTCACCTTGATTTTGTGGCTTGGCACAAAGTGCTGCTGTCCGCTGCGGGATGGGGACTGGTGCACAGCTGGCGGCTCTGCCCGCACCAGCCCTGGGCACCGAGCGGGGACCGCGATGGCTCATGAACCCGAGGGCTCGGGGGGAGGTTTGGGGGAGCAGAAGAGCTGTCTCCTTCTTCCCAGGTCCCGTCCCTGCCTGTCCCATCTCCCAGGAGTGGCCAGGGAGGGGAAAGGCACCCACAGGCGGTTCCTGAAGCTGTAAATTAAAGCCATGAACCTGTTTGCCAAAGAATGAACGTGGGTGACGTGCGCGGGAGGTCCTGAAAAGTTACGGGTGAGATTTATAGCATCAGGGGTGGGACGCAGCCTTCCTTTCGGCAGGTCTTGGTGTGGGAGCGGTCCCCGCTGTGTGACGGGGGACATGGCCGGGACGAGGCTGCGGTCACTGGGGGTGGTACGTGGGGACACACCAGTGCCCACGCACGAGGGGACGCTGATGGACCGTCAGTGCTGGGGGGCTGGCACCCAGTGCTCACCCCACCATCGAGGAGCCCCTGCACCCTGCACCACCCATCAGCCTTCGTGCATTGCACTTTTACCAAGCATTGCAGGAACCAGAGAAAAATACCTGTTTTCCTTACCCTGCGGAGAGGTGTTTTCCAGGCGCCCTTCCCCGGCTCCCCTCGCGCACCACGTCCAGTCCGTCTCTGCCGTCACTGCCACGGGGCCATTTGCTGCATCATCTGTGAATCCACTCGTGCATTTGGACCGGGGCGGGTTGTGATCGGGTACGTGTCTCGTGACGTTCTGTACGGCTTGCGATAACCTTTATTTCTTGTTGCACATTACCGTAATAAACCATTACCTACATACCGCACAGTTCACCCTCTGGTCTCTCAATCCACACGCGTTGCTGCGGTGTGGCTGGTGTGGTGCCAGGGGCTTCCAGGAATGAGCCCAGACCGGCACAGCAGGACTGGCCCCAGGGCTCCAGCCCAGCCAACCTGTTGCGTGAGCACCGGCACTCATCCTCACCCTGCTGAAATCTCCCTGGCTGAAACCACTGGGATTATTTACCCAAAAGCCCTCTTGGATTTAGTAATTCTCACACCGATGACCAAGGATGCCCGAGGTGGCTGGGGCAGATGCCACTGTCCCGGTCCTTCCCCTGCCTGTCCCTGCCCGCTGCTCGCCCTGACCGACACCAGCAGCTGGGATTGTCCCGAACCAAATAACGGAGGCGGAAGAAAAACTCCTAATTTCAAAACACTGCAGCTCTCCTCGCCAAGGAGGTGAGGGAGCAGCCCTGGGGCTGCTGGTGTTTAGGGGGTGCATAGGGAAAGCTGCCGCCACACATGATTTCTATATAACTCTTGCACATCAACGGTCATGCCTCGGGTTGGAGCAGCTGGAAAAGCGAATGAAGACCCAAAGGAATTATTTGCAGTCTTCAAGTTGTGAGACTTTTATGATTATAAACCTGGCAAGGACGGAGAAGCGGCTGGTTAAGAGGAGGGGAGATGCCGTGTGCTTCCTTGCCTCCGGCAGCAGCACCACCCACCACCGACCCGCCGAGGTCCCTGCGGGAAGGGGCTTCGGCAGATGCTTCCCAGCACGTCAGGTTTGGGGTGGATGCTCCCGTACCCACTCTTCCACAGCCCCTGGGGTTGTTCCGGGGCCGGTTTTAAGCTCCACAGGGACACGGTGGACGCGGTGACCCGCAAAGGGGCCCCAAATTTGCCCCTGCCCTCCCGCTCCAGCCACCTCTGGCTGGCAAGCCCGGGGCAGGGGCCGCGTCCCATCGGCAGCCTCGTAGCAAACGAGTTTCTGTAATTTTACCACTCCAACAAAAAGCTGTTTTTACAGCAAAGCCTTCCAAAATAGAAACCAGAAACACCCGCGGGCGTTGACTAAGCCCTGGTGCTGCAGGACCGGTTGCTCGGTGGGGGACGGCAATGGGGACACCAGCCAGGAGCACCGGGGGATGGCAAACCCCGCTCAGTGCTGTGCCGACAGGTCCAGGGACCCTTCGCCAAGGCTGATGCCCCCAAACCCGGCCGAGCGGGTGGTGCAGCCGGGTGGCCGACTGCTCTCACCCTTCCCTTTGCTCGGGATAAATGCACGGATAACGTTTGCTGCCACACAGCATCAGGCTCCTTGGAAAGGCTTCGCTTCCTTTCTTTTTGGTTTCCTTCTTCATAGCACATGCTGGAAGGCGTTTCAGAGCGGGATCAGAAATTGCAGGGAGAAAGCTATAAAAAATTGTCCATGGTCAAGGCAAAAAGGACGGGCACAAGGGGAGGACCTCCCGGAGGGGTGCTGAGCCCATCATCAAGGACTTGTCTGTTCTGCACCCCAGTTGTCCTATAAAATATACCCCTGAATGGCTCAAAGGTTTTTCACTAACTGGGAGGACCTTTGTCTCCATCAGGAGCACAGAAATCACTAAACCAGAGGATTTACCTCATTTGCCCCAAAGTTCAAAGTGACCCTTTACAAAGGAGAAGAAAAAACCCACAAAGCAAAACCAGGACAGGAAGCAGCTTTACAAAACACTGTTGAGAAACTGCCCCGTCACACCCCGTTTTCAGAGCAACATCCCCACCCCGCAGCAGATAAGTGCCGAGCCGTCCCCAGCGCTGCCCATCCCCGGCCATCGCAGGTGGGTGAGCACCTTCCCTGGCTGAGCAGCGCCAAATCCTCATCCCCGAGCCAAATCCCCCCTGGACAGAGAGCAACTCAGCAAGGCCACCGGTGGGATTTAGGGAACAGAATGAGACTTGGCGGAAAAATTACTCGCATCTAGTTTGAAGGGCAATAAGCTAATTGCTCTGGGCAGCCCATCGATGGCATTTCTAGAGCGGGGATGTATTTTCTATCGGTTTCTAGCTGAGGGGTGCAGAGCCGGGTACAGGGGGAGGGCAATGCCTGCTGGTGCTGCTCTACTGGTTTACACTGGATTTCCCCCAGTCTGTGCTGGTGTGGTCCCGTGCGGAGCTGGGGGATGGAGGGGGATCCTGTCCCTGCAGGGCACAGGCAGGAGTGGGGCTGTGGGTGTCAGAGAGGACAAGTTATTGTGGAATTTCTTTTAATAACAGATGGAGAATGAAATTCTGTTTTCTATTGTATAGGATTTAAAATCTCTCCCTTGGTTGCAGGGGGTTTGTGCAGGCACTCACAGAGCACGGGTGAGCACGCAGAGCCGCTGTACTGCCACGGCTCCAGCCCCAGCACCGGACAAGAGAATCGGCTGCGGGCCCCCCCCGGCACCTTCCCCACCCCGGCCGGCAGCCAGCACCGTCCCAGAGCGTGGGACACAGCTCCCCGTTTGCGCTCTCTGCTCGCCTGACCCGCGCCAAGGACGAAGCCCCAGCACAGGCAGCAAGCATGGTGCGGGCAGCCCCGGCCCCAGCAGCCATCACCCTCTGCCTCCGTGAGTTACATCTTGTCCCCCAAAAGCTGACCCTGTCCCAGGAACCCCTTCCACCCCCCGGCAGCAGGGATGCTCCAGCCCACGCTGCTTTTCATTCCCAACCCACTCCCTGCACTCTGCCTCGTGCTCCCGTCAGCATCCGCAGGCAGTGGGAGTTTTTCCTGGCTGCAGCCGTCGCCGCGTTAGAAATCTGCACAGACAGATTTCCAGGGGCAGATTTATCACTTTTTGTCTTCTAAACCTACCCTGAGTCACCCCGGGTTGCCTGGGCTGGTGCAGGCTGCAGGGCAGGACTGGAGCTGCTCGCTGCATAGAGTTCACCAGCATTTACTAAACATTATTCAATTGACAAGAAAAGGCCCTTCCCAGACTTTAAACCTGGAGCTGCTTTAGAACAGCCCCCGACCGCCTGTACATAGTCATGGATGTTTTATAACCCACTCCCGCTTCGTTGCAGGTTTCTCCGCAGACCTCGCGAAAGCAGCAGCGGTGAGTCACCGCCGGCTGCTCCCGTGGCTCCGAATATACCA